GTCCAAGTGTGAATAATTCTTGAGCTGGTTTCAGGAACAAAAGGTACACTGCAGTGTAATGTTCTGTTGTTGGGTTTGTTAATATCAATTTTGTTCGTGAGTTGAGTTTTGTTGTGGTGAATGTTGGAGAGTTTTTCAACCATAGCTGGTGGAAATTTGTTGGTGTGAATGAAGGAATGCTTTATGTGGTTGATTTCTTCATCTATGTAGTCCGTTGAACAGAATATTGTGGCTGTGTTTATAAGGTTTTTCAGTGTATTGATTTTTTGTGAGGTGTCATGAGTGGAATTCCAGGGGATGAAGAGGCCAGTGTGTGTGTTCTTGCTGTGAATTTTAGTTTTAAACTGTGTATCCGATCTAATAATTTTGAGGTTAAGAAAAGATAACTGTTTATTGTTTTCATGTTCTATGGTAAATTTGATGTTGGGATGAATGGAATTTATGTGTTTAAAAAAAGTGTCAGTGTAAATTACTTGTACCTGATGATGACAAAACCTTGTACATTTGCTGTTATGTTAAACTTATATTAAAGTTTTTCTTACCCATTCAAGCTGTCTCCAACCATTATTATTCTCATCAGTAACTTTATACATATTCAATAATTAAATGGGTACCTCCTAAACGGAAATACATGTAGCTTACCTTTTCATTTTATTTTTTTTAAACAAACCAGTGATCTAAATTTTTCTGAGTCAGATATTTTCACACACCAATAAGTATATTTTCTTACTGTAATTAAAAGTTTAATTATACATTGAGAGAGAGAGAGAGCAACTTCTGCAAAACTGTTAAATAAATACATGTATGTATTTTTACACATAGGTTGAGTGTGTTATATTAAAACGAGTTTGGAGCCTCACCATGTTATAGTCCATGTTGCCACATCTGGTCATGCTCTGTCTGATGGCCTTGCACATTAACAAAAGTTCTGTAGCATATTTTTCACTCCAAAAATTGGCCATGTCTCAATCACATAATTTTTCTCTCCTTGCCTTCTGTAATCCACATAGTAACCAAGGATGATATTCCAATCTCACAAAAATCCATAGACTACATTTGGTGACTTGACAGGTACGTCTTCGTATGGAATAACATAAACACCCATTTCATTCTCCTACCATTTGAGGTATGCAAAGGTTAAATGAATATATTGTGGAAGCAACTTGTGGCACTTTTCTAGATGGTTTCCTTGTTTTATTTTACTCCAAGCTACTTGAGGGTCATCTGCATTAGTTTTCCCCAATTTTCAAATGATAAACCAGAGGGAAAAAGCAGCTAATCAACACCACTCACCTCTATCTGTTGAGATACTCTTTAACAATGAATAATAGGCCTAACCATGATGGCTAAAAGGGCATGTTTGATGCAGGATTCAATCCCACAGATTACAAGTTGAGTGCCATAACCGCCAAGCCTCTTCCACATGGAGGCCCTTCTTGATCAGTGTGTAGTTGTTTATGAATGGCTTTTACGTCTAACCTTTGTGTTGTGGATTCTCACCTGTTACAAGATACTGATACTGCTTTACTCTGCTGGGATACGACTTCTTGCAGGTCTCTTTCCAGATAGATCCGGTGTCCCAAGTTCATCAATATTCCTTTGTTTCCCAATACTATTAAATACAAGTAACAAGGGATATTCCCATCTTAGATATTCTAAATCTTCAAACTGAACACATTTTTATGACTTGAGTGTATGAATATTGTGAATTGGAAAGGGTTGTTATATATCCTTTCTAAAAGTGATCAGTTTTTGTGGGTATCACATTACCTATGAAATGCCAAAGTTAAAACATAGTTCTGATACATTCCTTTCCACTGTGACTTTATATCAGTTATGATTATCACATTACTTGCTTATTTTCATATTCAAAATTGTTTTAATATAATGTATTCAACCTCTATACAAGTTATTCTACTTTTTAGGGTTAGTAATATTTGTTCTTAAAATGACCAATTATTCTAGTAAATACTGAAAGAGTTGAAAATTGACTTTCCATAGAAAGTTTGTGAGTTTCAATTGTTATTAGACTGTATAACACAAGTTATTTAAATACAGTTTCTCTATTTTCTTAAATGTCATAGTATTTATAAACAAAATAGTTGTAATAAAAAACTGATTTATTTAGAAATGTGTAATATTCTTTTTCGCTTATAAGATGTACAAAACATTTAAAAAAACAGTTTCCAAATTACTTTACTGAAGTGATACATTTGGCACAACAAGCACATTCCAATGTTTTTAAACATGTATAATGCTGCATTAAATGCCTTGTTTTGATACAAGTTGTTTGTGTTTTGGTGTATATGAATATATATGTTCAATATTTCATGCACAATCACAACAATGAACCACAAATCAGGACAACAATATGTATTTTTTGTGTTTAATCAAACAACAAAAGTTTACACTTAATTATTTCTAAAAAAGTTCATTAAACAGCTAAAGTGGCTGTACATAAAGATATATACCAGTCTCAAAGTGAAAGGCAACTGTTAAGTAAATTTATCATCAAAAAAGAAATCATAAAGTTTTATTAGACCACAAGGAAAAAAATATCAAGACAGCCTCAATAACAGATGAAAAGAAATTCATTTCATGCAGTATAGAACATGTAGTAAGAATAAAACAAATCAATATATATATGAAAACACTTTCAAATTCACCTTTGATGCCATATTCACAGTACAATGTTGTTTTGCCTCATTATGTTTTCAAAGGTTTCATAAATTTGAATACTATATTGAAATTCAACTTCAGGCTCAACATGTGTTGCTTAGATATTTTTATATGGTACAAACTATCATAAGATGTTTTTATGTTAAAACTAGTTCAAACACTCAAAACTGTAGAATTGGCATTATGGTAAATTTATCATGAAATTCTGGAATTTTTAATCTTTTCAGTAATAGACTCCTTAATTTTTTTTTGAGAAATAATACTGTCAAAAAGTCCAAACACATATATTATTTTATAGTTAAGGTAGCCACCATGCTAAACTGATTTTCCATAATCGTGTTATTTGCATATGCAAAAAGGTTTTATGTCAAAAAATTCCATTTTTGCTATGTATTTCAATGAGGTACTACTTTAGTACTAACTCTAATACTGATTTTTGGTTCCTGATCTTGCCAATCTTCCTTTGTGTAAAACAAGCAAAAAATTTAAGGCCTGGTGGTTAAGGAGCCTGACTCACAACCTGAGGGTTACGGATGCGAATTCTTATCACAGAACATGCTAATTCTTTCAGCCATGGGGACATTATAATCTGACAGTCAGTTGTTGGCAAAAGAATAGATCCAGAGTTGGCAGTGGGTGGTGTTGACTAATTGCCTTCTCTCTGGTTGGGACAGCAAGTGCAGATAGCCCTTGTGTAGCTTTGCACAAAATTCAAAACAAATCAAACCATATAAAAAAAGATTAAGAGTTTGGGAAAAACTAAGCAACATGTATAACACATTAGTATTTTGCATTCTAACAACAAACATCTATTTTGTAAAGGTGTATAGTACATCTTATTTATTATTCAAAAAATATTATGTAGAGCAATATATTTTTTATCCAATATGTTGTGTCAAGACAAGAAAAAGAGCCTTGTACACAGATTATAATCACAGTTTTATCAGGAAATAGCAAAACGACAAATTAGGATATACTAGTTCAGTAGGTCCCAACCATTTTTCACTTCACAAACTGGAAAAAGCTCATGGATCACAAAGACTATAGGGATATAGTCCTATAATACAGTAAATGGCCTATAATGTACATGAGGTACTACTTTAATACTAATTCTATTTCTGACTTTTCACTCCACAGATTGGGAAAATCTTTGTTATAAGCTCATGGATCACAAAGACTATAGGGATATAGTCCTATAATACAGTAAATGGCCTATAATGTACATGAGGTACTACTTTAATACTAATTCTATTTCTGACTTTTCACTCCACAGATTGGGAAAATCTTTGTTATAAGCTCATGGATCACAAAGACTATAGGGATATAGTCCTATAATACAGTAAATGGCCTATAATGTACATGAGGTACTACTTTAATACTAATTCTATTTCTGACTTTTCACTCCACAGATTGGGAAAATCTTTGTAATAAGCTTATGGATCACAGAGTATAGGAATACAGTTGTTAAGGCCTATAATACAGTAAATGACCTATAAGGTATGCAAAATATAGATATTTATACACAGCTAGTAAAGGGGTGTTGAGCTAGAAGTTATCAAAAATTGTGTTCCCTAAGTTAGACTCTCTTATTTTACAACGAACTAAGAAGAAAAAACACTTTTAACCTATTCCTAGCATGTACATGTCTAAAACACAAATTTCACAAAAATTGTTGTTTTTTACTGGATGTTTATGCAGACCAGCAGTTGTAAATCACAGTACTAGTCCACAAGTATGGATAATTAACTCAGGTGGAGAAAAAAAATCAAACAAACCACTGTCATGTAACTTCACTGCTGTTATGCAGTTAAAGAAACACTAATATAATTTAAACTTTGGAGAGCCATATATGAATTACAAAGTATAGTGTTTTTAACTTCAGGGTTGATAATTGATAAATTAAATAATATAATAAATACATGGAAAAAAAAATTAAGAGCAGACCCTAAGAGGAATTCCCCTTCAATATCAACAAAAATGTTTACTATACACACTGTATTTGTTAAGATTAGTTCCACTCATCAAAACACTTACAAGCAACATGATGTACGTACCATGCTGCAAAAATGGAAAGAACTTGGCTCACTTATATGGATGCTAGTACACATATCATAGCACTGGGTTGTAGATGTATTTTTTTTCCCCCACTTAATACTTCACACCCCTTTCATGGAACTTTATCTGCATTTAAATCTTTCAAAAACTTACAACTTTTATAAATTGATGAGATTTTTTTTTTTTCAATTTCATCACTGTGGTCACAATCAAGTATCCAGGCAATAATGATTTAAGATATTTAAAAATAAAGTTAATGTCTTGTTACAATTCTTTTAAGCATGTAACTTGAAACTAAAAGAATGAAAATACTGCTTTATCTAAAATTCATTGTCACTATGGATACGGGTAGGTATAGATGCACAGTCATAACCTTTTTACAAAGTTACATACAAAATTTATTAACTCCTTTACTACTGCCTCTTTGGATTACAACAATCACTTGACCACAAGTGAAAATCAGTTTCCATATTATAACTATTAACAACTTTTATCATGTTTTCAAGCTTTTAGTAAATATTACGAGACATTTTTAAACAAAAAAATCATAATTCTTAACTAAGTATTTCTACTAAAAATATGTCCATGAATATACAGAGTCAGAGCATTGATTGCTCTGAGTGCAAAGTGATTTTAATGTTAAGATTAAAAATACTTTTCTTCATCCAAACATTTTCAAATTTCATTTATGCAATCTCTAAAACTCCCTAAACAAATATTAAATGTTTCTTTCCAGAACAACTTGATTATTTTATCTACCTTAATTCTATACAGGGTCAGTCAATTTGACCAACCTTGTAACCGTAAAGAAACTTTTAATGGTAGAAAAATGTGAAGTAAAGTCAGTACTGTTCTATCCTTTTTAGTGTTGACCACAAAGTTCTCGTGAGAGATTCTACTTTTAATCTTTTCACATCTATTTCCTATGTTTATTTTACTGTTAACAGCTGAAGTAGAGACCTGCTGAACATAAAGCAATGAATCACTATTCCTGCCATTACTGTTTATGCTCGTGAAGTGCAATTACCAGAACTTTCCCCTGGTGTTTATCGTAATCCTGGCTCTGAGAATACAGTGGAAGAGGATTTATCAACTTGTTTACAGTACAGTGGTTGTAATGAAAATTGTCTAAGGTAATAAAAAAGTGGGAAAATGTTTATGATATGGCTCTGTACAAAGTCCAGGCTGATCCAATAAACTTGGTAGGTATTTGGATGTTAGAATTTAGCAATATAGGTGTACAAAGTGTGTAAGTGCTTATGAACATGTATATATATCATTACTATTTATTCATAAATGCTTAATTGTTAGTTACTTTTCTTAAAACATAGAACAATGAATAAAAAATTTATTGAAAAACAATAATTTCTAATACTTATAATGTTATGAAATTGATTTGTACTTGTGCATCATACTTGCTAAGCCTCATATTCCTTTAAATGGAGGGGAGAAAGACAAATGAATTTTTGTAGATGCATTTTAGAAATAAAAAATTACCAAATTACTATACTAGTACACGGTAATTTATCTGACTTTCTAATTAAGCTATGAGTGGATTAAAAAAAATCTTCATTTCTGTTCAGAGCAACAACTTAGTCAACATATTTTACCATTTCCAGTTAAAATACAAGTTTCCCTCCAAGTCAATTACAAATGACTGTCAGGTTTTGAAGTGTGGAATGTGCTGTTTCTATTGGTTATAAACATGCGTTTAAAAGAAGTAAGCGTGAGTAGTCAAGAAATTTCAAAAGAATATAGTAGTAGGTAGTGCTACACTCATAGGTTTACAAAATATATTGATATTTCAGCAAATTAAAAAGGTGGGAGGTTGTTATTTCATATTCTTTCTTGTAAATGTCTGAAATTTGAGTTTCTACCTCATTAACCACTACAGATGTTGTATGGTAGGAGTAACAGAATATAAACTGAACAATAAGATATGCCATATGACAAACAAAAAGTATATCTACCTTTTTTTTTTTAATCAAGAAATTAAAACACGTATAATATTTAAATTTGAATTATAAACTACAACTGTGATGCTAATTTTACTGACACATAATGATAACAAAGTGCTCAATCAAATTTGGAAAACAACTCTCAAAACCATCATGACATGCTCCCTTTGACCTGTCTTTAGTTAGAGGTTTAAACTACTTTGTTATGGGTGTACTTAAATAAACTTGGCATCAAAATGTAGTTAATAAATCAAATTTTAATATTATATATATATGTTTTAATTTCTTAATTTTAAATACTTTAGAAAATTCTCAATCTTAATTTTTCTATATCACAACACTTGTTTGGTCCAAGATAACCTTTCTACCCCTATCTAAAATCTGAGTTTTAATGCAAATTACACACTCATATCATGGATACTGCTAAGACATAATCTAACTTTATAGCCTTCAGTCATTGTTTTATTCAAATATAGACCAGGAAGTCCAACCCACATTCCATGCTCTCCTATCACATACTGCCTTTCAAAAAATGTTAATAATTCTCTCTCACATTTGCAATTATATTATTTATAACCAACAAAAAAAAACGATTTTAATTTCCTGATTAATGACAGTTTTTGAATTATTCTAAGTCCTAAACTGCTTGTTTTTAACATGTATTTTTACTTATCATTATAAAAGTAAGTAAAATGTAAAAATTAGAAGTGTATTAGGTTAGATAAGAAAACATAAAGGAAAAAAAATTACATGAATAACTTTTTCTCAGTGACATATTCACACAAGCTACACATGCATTACATAGTTTAATACTTTGTTACGCTTGTTTAGCAGTTAGAAACATTCAAAGAGCAATGAAATTAAATAAAAACAAATGTAAACTGTTACAAGCTTGAAATTTTTAGAATAATTAATTTTCTGTTATAATCTACAGTAATTATAGAAGGGAAAAAAGGTAAATTTAAATTTACTTAATATTTTCTTCTGGTGGTTACAAGGTTGGTAAAATGGAGTGACGTCACATGGTGTAATTGTAAAGAAAACAACAGACAAAATATAAACTTTACTGAAAAAAACCTTTGGATATTCATTTAAGAGATTTTAGAGGTTATGTGAATGAATCTTAAAAACTGTTAGATGAAAAACAAATGTTTTTTATCTTAACAGAAAAATCACCTTGCACTCAGTCTAGTCTGAGTCAAACTATACTCTATAAATTCATAGACAAATCTATTTATTGTAAAAATATTTAAGAAATCTGCTTACTAAAAGCTTAGCAAATTAACTGAAGATACATCAACTACATTAAAAGTTATAGTATGTATAGTTTCATGATTAAAAGGTCATTCAAAATGAACAAGCCCATGTGCAGAGAGTTAATGTTTATATCAGCATTTATATACTATTTTAACTCCACACCACCAAGTTCTTTCCATATATATATATATATTTATTGTTTATTTCTATTATTGTTGATTTTTTAAGAATCTTGAAATTATTTAGGTATTCTTTGGCAGCTTATCCTATTCTTCAATACTCCCCATATTTGTGTAGCATTACTTGAACATATGTCAGAGGTTGAGAAAACTTTTTCTCATCCGGTTTTACAGGTAGATACAAAACAGAATCAGCTTTACATTCCTTTAATGATGCTGGACAATCAATCAGTGTGAAGTTCATATCCATACAAATTCGGACTGACGACAGGAGAGGATGGTCAAAGTCCTATGGAAGAAAGTTTCAAACTGACAAGGTATCTATACTTACACTACCATACTAGATAAGATGATAGCTTATGCTGCATAACCCACACTTTATTATTTATTTGTAACTGTTTGTACGTAATTGGAAGTCACTTGTGTTATCAAGAAACACTAGATAAATTCATGTTACAGCTATAGAGTGGTGGACCACTTGAAATTATTGAAAATCCAAACAGGAGTGCCGAGGTCCAAAAGTAATGATAGTAGGAAAATTGGGGGTTCAAAGGGTTATTTAATCAATATAACATTATATCTTGTAGAGCTAATGTTTCAAGGAAATATTTTATTTTTCTGTATTAAATAAGCCTTCCGATTTATGTCGTTTAAAGCTAGCTCTACAAGTTTTATATTGTATCAAACTTATTGTGGATACAATTGCATCCCATTGTGTCTACCACTGCAGCTATATAATACAATGTACAAAACTACACCAGAAATTATCTAATACAAATTTAGAAAACATTATTTTGGAATAAAATTCCATTTGAATTTGAGATTGATCACAAATTCATGTGTCTAGCTGGAGTAACTATTTTCACAGAATCTCAATAGATCTAGCTTTGTGAGAAAAAAATAGAGTCAATATTGCTATACAGTTTTCAGAAACTGTTTATACCCTAGAAATTTTTCAACAGTTCTAAGAAATAACTAACTAAGCATCAATAAAAAACAAAAACAGATGACAAATTTACAAAAAAATGTTCCTCTGTTACAGTTTTGGACAAGACAGTGCATTAATGCTCTGAATCAATGTTACACTTACCAAAATGTATGCTTATTAAGTTTGAGGAAAACGAAATAAATATAGAAAGTAATGGCATCACCCTTATAAATTATTAGTTGAAAATAGTTAGAATTTTTTTGTATTAAAGGAATACATTTGTCAAAAAAAAAAAAGGCTAATCAATTTTATACTATGGATGTGATATTTTAAAAATGATCGAGAAGCAACAAATTTAGTGACATATACTTAGTAGAAGCATCTGTACAATAACTGTTTGGTAACTCCCAGCTTAAAAACCATGATCATGTTAACTCTAAAGTTCTATGTTGGTATCACCAAATTTGACATTGCATCATAAATTGAAGTTTTATATTAATGGTGTAAATTATGTTTGGTACTACTTTTTTTATGTCTGTGGATGTGCTTTATTTTTGTAAACAATTAAAGGTAGGAAATGTTGCCAAACAATTATGTTATCTTTTTTTGTTCACAAATTAATTTTACCTGTTGATTTTCCACTTTTTTGTGGTGACATTAATACCTTTTACATTCAAAGTATTTATTTTAAACCAACTCACCTTTGCATTTTTACACTTAACAAGAACGTGCACCTTAAAATGACTGTTTAGAGCATTTTTTATATTGTCCAACTGCAAAAGAAAAATAATAATGTCAACTTCATACAAACATGATTTCTAGCCAAGACCCTTGAATAAGTGCTACTCTAATCCATCAAACCAAATGCTCATATTTGTTTTTTTCTAACATTCTTCATATGATTAAGCTGCTAAGCAACCACTTTTTTAAATTCTGGATTGATTTTTCCTTATGGCACAGTTATTACAAAGACACTGATTCTTTTAGTTCCAAAAATACAACATAAGTACTTACAAATATAACACAAATAATCTTGAAAGCATCTTGAAGTTATGAGTAGCAACAGACAGAAGCTGATCAAAGTCTCACCCTCAACATGTGAAACTCAACTTCAATAAAATAGCTTTGTATTATGGCTCCCGAGCTGTGGAATTTGAAATATGTTAATCAGAAAACATTACCAACAGTGACTAATGGACTAAACAAAGGGGTTTTGTATTATGACTCCTGAGGTGTGGGATTTGAAACATGCTAATCAGAAAACATTACTAACAGTGACTAATGGACTAAACAAAGGGGTTTTGTATTATGACTCCTGAGGTGTGGGATTTGAAATATGCTAATCAGAAAACATTACCAACAGTGACTAATAGACTAAACAAAGGGGTTTTGTATTATGACTCCTGAGGTGTGGGATTTGAAATATGTTAATCAGAAAACATCACCAACAGTGACTAATGAACTAAACAAAGGGGTTTTGTATTATGACTCCTGAGGTGTGGGATTTGAAATATGTTAATCAGAAAACATCACCAACAGTGACTAATGGACTAAACAAAGGGGTTTTGTATTATGACTCCTGAGGTGTGGGATTTGAAACATGCTAATCAGAAAACATCACCAACAGTGACTAATGGACTAAACAAAGGGGTTTTGTATTATGACTCCTGAGGTGTGGAATTTGAAACATGCTAATCAGAAAACATTACTAACAGTGACTAATGGACTAAACAAAGGGGTTTTGTATTATGACTCCTGAGGTGTGGGATTTGAAATATGTTAATCAGAAAACATCACCAACAGTGACTAATGGACCTAATAAAGGAATTTGTTAATATAGAGTATTATCAATACTAATTTATAAACATACATAACCATATACAAAATAGACATTTTTTTATATTATTATGTTTAGTTATATTTTACTTTAATTTTTGATTTGTAGTTATCATAGACTTTTTATATCAATTTGCAATCCGAAACTTGACGCGGAGGTACAGGATCTAAACTGGACAAGCAAGACCTGGTTGTTCTAGGTTTAAAAATGCTCAACTGGATTGAGAATAACGAGTTTTCATCCAATGGTTGCAATCAATGTTATTTTAATCAGAAAGAGTTATAACTTAGTATTATTTTGAGCTAGGTCATATCCAGTTATAAATTTCCATTTTTCTGGTTAACTCTCTCAACACGGGCTTAGTCGATTTGATCAACCATGTGACCTCTTTTTACTCATTTAAAGTCTTTGATACTACTAACTTTTAATATAGTATGAATATATACACAAAATTTGGCAATATTTCTTACTAGTAAACATTGTAAATCTTTCACATACAAAAAAAGTCATATTTTTAGTGAAGTATTCTAAATAGACTAAAAAAAAAAAGAGATGTCCATGAATATATCGAGTATTTGTTTTGAATAGTCCATGTGCAAAGTGATTTTCATGTTAAGATTAAAAACACTTTTCTTCATCTCAAAACTCTCAAATTTCATTCATGTAATCTCTAAAACCTCCTAAATACATTTCAAACATTTGTTTTCAGTAAAACTTTATATTTCATCTGTTATTTTTTCTACCCTAACTCTATATGGTGTTGGTCAATTTGACCGACCTTGAAATAAATCAAAATTACTCCTTTTTTCTTTCTAGAATGACTTCAAATTGTAACATGAAACTACGTTCATTTATCCTACATAGCTTTAAACATGTAACAGTATACATCTATTTATAATTAAATGTTATTGTTTTATTGCCCTGTGAACCATGTCTAACTGCTGTGGAGCTCACATTACATTACCTACGAGTAGCTCATGTGTGTGCCTCACGAAACATTTTTTATTATCCTCTATTTTACCTAATCTAACCTCAACTAACCTAAAGAGATCCAAATTTTTACATTTTAGTTACTTTTATAATAATAAAGAAAGAATAAACATGAAAAACAACAAATAAGGTATTTACCCAAGTATTTCTTTTTTTTTGCTGTCGACTGTTGATGAAACTTAACTCTACTTTTTTTATACTAATGATAGTAATGCACTAAATAATTTTTATTTAATTAAATACTGCACCAAAGAACATAGAATAATAACATGGAACAAGCAGACAATTTCCTCTAACTATCACAATTTTTCTGGCTTTCCAACTGTGTGACAAGAGCTGTTACAAATTCATCCAAGCTATTCGTTATCTTTCCCATAGGAACGAAGCTTTTACTAATTGTGAAATTGACAATTCTCTTTTCAGAAAACAACATAATATGTCACTTGATAGATGAAAACCTTCACTTCAATATTTGTTATAGATAATTTACAGGGTGTCCCTAAAGTCTGGACACATAGGAAATCCCATTAACTATATTTTTTTTACCTCCATAGATTAAATATGAAGCTTTGTTTTATGTGAATGGTGAGGTTAACAGGCAAAATGTTCGATACTGGTCTCAAAGCAATCCACATTGGGTGGACCATTCCAAACAGCAAGGAGCTCAAACAATTATGGTGTGGTGTGGTTTGTGGAAAGCTCATGTGTTGGGGCCATTTTTCTTCGATGAACATGTAACTGGTGAAACTTATCTCGCCATGTTGAGAGACCAGTTAATGCTCAAACTTGAAAGGCTAGGTGAAGGACTTCCTGAGTGGTTCCAATAGGATGGCGCCCCTGCTCATTTTGTCACGATGGTAAGAGATTGGCTGAATGACAATTTCCCTAACTGGATTGGAAGACGTGGTCATGTGGAGTGGTCTCCTCGTTCACCAGACCTTAGCCCCCTTGACTCCTTTTTCTGGGGTATGCTAAAGGAGAAGGTGTACTCAATGAAAATCACAGATGCAACACACTTGATTGAACGCATAAAGAGTGAATGTGCTAAAATCGACGGCAATGTGGAGTTATTGCATCGAGTT